CATCTGAGGACAGTCACAGCGTAAGACAAAGACAGTCATACATTCATCGTTGCTGTTACGGGTTGAGAAATTTGGTTGCATAAGCTTCAACGTCCCAGGCAGAAGGTCACAGTCCAGCTCTACTTGGGCTTTTGGACATCAAACATGCAAAGACTGAAAATTGACATCTCCCTCTGGTCAGCAAGTCATTACTCGAATTCACAGTCATGAAGTGTACAGTCATGTTTTGGGCCCTGATAGGGATATTTGAGTGAGCATATCACCCAGGGGAGGCGCGAAGATGACTGTAGGTCCCTGTCATCAGGCTAGACCAGTTACGACCATCCATGCTGACAGAAACAAATTATAGCCTCAATTTAGAAGCTCATAAGAAAACAGTGACAAGGACATTTGGCAACATTCCAGAGGTGCACACATTCCTATAGCTCAAGATGTCAAACCAGCTTAACCATTCCAACCCAATCATCATCGTGGGTGCCGGGGTCTTTGGTCTCTCTTCGGCATGGTGGCTCGCCCGCGCCGGCTATCATAACATCAAGGTCCTGGATCGGTGGCCTGTCCCATCTCCATCATCGGCAGGCTACGATCGGAACAAGATCATCCGCACTGAATACCCGGACGATATATACTCTGTTCTTTCCCAGGAAGCAATCCAACTCTGGCGCGATCCTCTCTGGAAAGATGTCTTCCACCCAACTGGCTGGATCTACGGCACAGACGGCTCAAAGGATCAGGACCGCGAAAAGACCTTCTTGACTGCGGTCTCTAACACACACTTGCTCGGGGATCCATCCAAGATCGTCGAGCTCCCAAACTGGGATGCTGCCATTCATCTCTACCCGTGTCTAGCCTTCGCACACGACCGTCGCCAGGCCCAGGTAGGCATCTACGCTGATGGCCAATCAACCCCTAAGGGCAGAACGCCCACCTTTCGCGGGATCTACAACGGAAACGCTGGCTGGGTCGAGTCCACGAACGCGATGCTGATTTTGAAGCGGGAGTGCGAGCGCTTGGGTGTGGAGTTTGTGGCAGGCGAGTCCGGCGCCGTCGTCGAGTTCGTGCGTGATCCGGTCAACCCGGCCAAGGTTGTGGGTGTGCGCACCGCCAACGGGACCATCTGGCGCTCCGAAAAGGTTATCGTCGCAGTGGGCGCTTATTCCGAGACGCTACTCGATTTCAAGGGCCAGCTGCAAGCCTCAGGCTACTGCGTCTCGCATATTCGTATGACGGAGGAGCAGTACCAGCGGTACAAGGATCTGCCTGTGCTCAATATCGCACGTCGCGGGTACTGCTTCCCGCCGAACGAGGACCGTATCTTCAAGATCTGCAATCTGGACATCACCCTCGTGAACCGGGAGCGCTGGCCTGAGCCTAGCTGTGACTGGGGTGTGCGCAGTCTGCCGCGCGACCAGGCGTATCATCCTACTGATTCGCAGCCGCGGGTTGGTCGCGAGAAGACGTTGGAATTTGCAAGGTATATCTTGCCGGAGTTTGGGGATGCGGAGATTGAAAGTAGCAAGGTTTGTTGGGATGTAGAGACGCACGATGACAATTGGATTCTTGGGTATCATGATAGTGCGCCAGATTCGTTATTCATTGCTACCGGGGGCAGTGGCTATACCTTTAAAAATCTCACGAACATCGGGAAATATGTCGTGCAGGCACTTGAGGGGAAACTAGATCCGGAGTGGAAGGATCAGTGGCGTTGGCGACCGGATCGTGTGGGGTTGTTTCCGGACAGAGAAGAGAGGAATGCGAGGTTCAAGTTTGATTTGAGGGATTGTGACGGCTGGAAACACAATGCGCCCAGGCTGTGATTATCTACTCGATGACATATAGTGGATGACTTTTGCCATCTATTTTGGATTCCGGATGATATTGTGCATTGGGTTTGGTTTCGGTCTTCAGTAGAGATTTGGTCAATGCAAAGTGCCTGAATCTATTCTCTGGTAAAGGATGGTTAAATGCTCAAGAAAGAAAAACAACACCCATTGATTCAAAGTATCATTAATCTATCTCCATACGAAACTCTTTCCGGACCCGATCTCCAAGATGAAGTGTTTCCTCACGCCTACAATCCTCACCCCTCGCAAAAACAAGATACGTTGCCAACCAACCTAAACTCGGATCCTGTGGTCCAGATACTTTTTCTCCACGCTGATACCAGCAACGAGACCGTAACACGTGTTTCATTAGATCCGGTGCATGTGCTAGCGTGTCTTCGCAGGGCGAATTGGCCAACGTACCTGAGCGCTCGGGACTGAGGTAGACCAACATGCAGTGAAATTGAGGTTCTGGGCAAGCTGTTGCCGCGCCATGTTGTTGAAACGGGGTAGCCAGCGCCTTGAAACGTTCTTTGTCGCCGACGGCGGCCAGAATCGCTTGCGCATGATAACACACGCCATGTATGTAGGCCGTGGCCCAGTCCGAGAATCCTCCCGGGGGCCGAGAGTTGATTTCAATCAGCCAGCAATTTGGCTGCTCGGCTTGGAGATCCGACTGATCTGAGCCAACGCGGAGATCAAACAGCCCCGATTCATCGGTTGCATAATTAGCAACGGAATTGCGAACCCTAGCCTCAACGTGGAAAACACCTGTGTTAAGTCCTAACCGAATCAGACTGTTCCGGATGCTATCTCGTAGGGTCATTTGTTCGGCTTCAGGGAGGGCTGTGGGGTACATGATCTGAGTCTCTTGAAAGTTGCTCGTCTGGGCATTTGCGTCGGGTGCGTCTCCAGTGCAAGGGAAATCATCGGAGATTTCAAAAAACAGACACTCTCCGTCGAGCAGGATTATATTGGTATCTACTTCAGGTCCGTCGATATAGGGCTCAATAACCACACCGGTACTGGTGGAAATTGAGCCTAAGTGACGGACAGAGGCGCGGTGTACAGCGTCACGGAGTTCGCCGATTGTCGTCACCCGTGTGACGCAGTCGCTCGACCAGCCTAGACAAGGCTTCACAATCAGCGGGAATGTGAGCGCTGGTGCATTGGGCCGTGTTACGAGATCGTCGAGCTCTTCTATACTTTGAACCCGGAAGCTTGCTGGGACTGGGGTGTCAGCCTCCTCGGCGGCTCTGGTTGCGTACTTGTCTGTTGCGACTTTCAGGCCCTCTGAAGGCATGGTGGGCAATCCGAGCATTTCGGCTGCTTCAGCTACTCCAACTAGATGTCGGTCGTTGGAGGTGATGATTCCATCTAGGTTGCGATCTTTGAGTGCTTGGTACAGTCGACTAGAGAAGGTCTCATCAACGGTCATGTCGAAGGGAATGAACTCCTCTCGCATTGAGGCACTCGGCCCATCATCGGCTTCTAGCCAGTGGCCAGGCGAGTCGACGGCTATTAAGTTGATGTTTAACGACTTTGCAGCCATGTAGAAACGCTCAATCGTGTGATACTCCTTCCGAGCCTGGACGACGGCGAGCCGCTTGCGCCGAACTGGTTCGGACGATAGCCATTGAAATGATAGGCGACGTCGGATCTCGCTTTCTACTTGTTTGAGAACAGAATAGATCGTGGTTCCGGTCTGTGGCGCTCTGACGATGATGCCTCCGCACGCGGACAATAAGATATCCGATAGCCACCAAACTTCGTTGCAAGGATTCAGACGCTGCCCGGTGGACACTGCAAAGCCATTGACACATTCCACTTGATCGCAGCCCCGGAAGCGTTCTTCGAGAATATCCGCACGGCGCAAATATCCTGAGTTCACAGGCAGGATGAACTTGAGACCAGACTGGGTGTTGGACCTCGAGGCAGCTAGCCGAACCAATGCAATGGCTGGATTGGCTGCACTGATCTGATAATACTGCGTAACCGTTCCATCTGGACCCTTCTCACACACAAATGCATGTTGTTCCTCAGTGGATGCAAGACACAACCCCGGCAAAAAGGTATGCGGGTTGCCCTCCAAGAGAACATCGATCGTTCGGTACCAGTGACATGTCACAGAGACACAATACTGTACTGGCAGACGAACTTGAGAATATCCTGCGTTGAGTATAATCTCCGCATGTCGGTATTTTCGGGGATCGGAGTCGATAATCGAGCCAGGACCCAAGTGGGGTTTACATTGTTCTGTAAATGGAGCCATCGCGGTACACTTAATTGAAACAATACAAAGAATTGGCTCGGAGACAAAACGACCTTAACTTGGGTTTCTCTTAATATCTCTGCATTCTAAAGCAGCCGGTGCACGGGGCTATCTTAGCCTAGCACTATTGGGCATGACTATTGAGGTCACAAACCAATGATCCGTCATCCACTCAAGGACCAGTAATCCCAGCACAGTCATCACTACCTAACTTATTCAGTAAGCAAGCTGCGCAGCCCGGAACAACATAGTAGACGCGATAAATGATAACTTTATATCTAATCGACCACGAATTTATTTTATTCCATTGCTGTAGATAGCTGGACTTCTCAGCACTAGATATCCATTTCAAGGAAATCTTAAAGCTACACAATTAAGGTATCGAAAATTACTTGCTTTGAGCCAGAAATATAAATATCTTAACCACTAGGCTATAAGGAAAGGTCCTTATATAGGTTTCTACGTTGTTGAGATATCGAGCTGTAATTTATCGCATTCCAATAATGTATTAGACCGTGCAGCTCGTTTACCAATTACGTTAAATCCACAATGATGAGCTCTGAGTCATTCCAATGGTACGGACCTGTATAATAATAATACAACGTATTTTCTTAGCACGCCTTTGCCCACCACACTAAACCCTCTTAAGGAACGCTAGTATACCCTCCTTTCTTGACGCTTTTCTGAGAACACCCCTTACCAATGTACTAAGTCAACCCATGCTTGTTACCGAACTGGTAAAGTGTGTAAATATAATTAATTTTGAATTTTCTTTTTGGGAGGGGGGAGATGATCTATCTTAAAATTTACCTATTATGCTTAGTATGGGATTTTAGGCCCTGTTTGACTGAAAGATTTCGTTCTTCCCTTCATCATCCCACCTTTCTGCCACGTGACAGCTGAACATGGCTTCCCAGGTCAATGACAGCCAAGTGGAAAGTTCATCCCCTTCATTGACGGCGACAGGAAAGCAGGCGGGAGATATTGTTCCAGCAAATAACACAGGCGATGAAACATCATGTCGGCCCACAAACCAAGATTTGAAAGAGCTTGTTCATGTCGCCGACAACGTTCCCTACCCAGTTTGGCTGGTCATTCTGGTCGGATCAGCCGAGAGATTCGTCTTCTATGGCGCCTCGACCTGCCTGCAAAACTACTTGCAGAACAGCCCAAATGATCTCATTCCTGGAGTTCTCGGGATCGGGCAGTCGGACGCCACTGCTGTGAACTATGCGTTCATGGTGTTGGTTAACTTTGCACCGGTGCCGCTGGCGGTGGTGGCCGATGGTTGGCTGGGGCGATATAAGCTGATTTTGCTAAGTACAGTGTAGGTGAAAATGATGTATTACTGCGCGCGGAGTGTATGCAGAAATCTCGCTTCTGTAAAAGTTATACAGACGGACATTAGCAAGACATTAGCAAGATATCTGCTGACATTCCTTCTTCCGCAGCATCTACCTCGTTGGGTCTCTCATTCTTTTTACGACAGCTCTACCTTCGGCTCTACACCAAGCAGGCGTGTCCGCCGCAGGGCTTGGTGTGTCTCTTGTCTTGATCGCGCTTGGCATAGGCGGCGTGAAAGCCTCGATTTATCCCTTTATCGCGGATCAATACCCCCATCATGAGCCGTTCATTCGCGAGCTCCCGTCCAGAGAACGGGTGGTTGTGGACCGATCTCTCACGATACAATACATGTACAATTGGTACTTCTGGTGCGTCCGAAAACCATATCTCCATGATTCCAGGTATACAAGCAGGAAGGCTAAGAATGGATATTCATTCAGGTTCATTAATGTCGCCTCTTTGTCTGGGATAGCCACCACCTTTATGGAAAAATATTCGAGCTTTTGGTCTGCCTTTTTACTCTGCTTCTGCTTTCTATGGGTGGGACTGGTTCTTATGTTGGTCTTCAAAAATAAATACTGTACGTGAAAGCACAACCTCCCTCCAATCACCTTACGTACTCATGGAAGACCACAGACAAAGCGCCTCCCGCAGGCTCAGTTGTTCCGAAAGTGTTGCGAGTCATTTGGCTCGGGATTCGAGGTGGTATGTCACTCAACGCCGCCCAGCCGGCAGTACAACAGGAAAAGTACGGTCGCCAGGTTCCGTGGGATGATGAATTCCTGAAGGGAGTCCGCGATGCCCTCATAGCGTGTCAAATCTGGTGGGTTCCTAATTTGCAGCCCATTCTCCGCAAGCTAACATTTCCCAGTCTCGCATTCCCAATTGTCTGGCTCTGCTGGGGACAAACATACAATAACTTGATCTCGCAAGCCGGTCAAATGGAAACTTACGGGATCCCCAACGACGTGATGCCTAATTTTAACCCTATTGCCTGCATCATCGCAGGACCACTGATCCAACAATGCCTGTTTCCCTTTCTCAATCGCCGCAAAATTCCGTTTCGCCCCATTGCTCGTATTTCCGTCGGTTTCTTCCTCATGGGTGCCTCTTTGGCCTGGGCGACTGGCCTCCAGGCCTTTATCTACCGCGCTGGGCCGTGTCCTGACTATCCCCTGGCCTGTCCGGATTCGAAAAACGGCGCCATCCCGCAGCATATCAATGTGTTTCTGCAGGTGCCGTGTTATGTGCTTATGGCGATCGGGGAGATCTTCTGCGTGACGACTGGGTCAGAGTTCTGCTATTCGCAAGCCCCAAGGAGCATGAAGTCTATCGTGCAGGCATTATTTGTGGGAACGGCTTCGATCAGCTATGCATTGGGCATTGCGATCTCGCCGGCTGCAAAAGATCCTAATATGACTATTTTCTACGGGTGTTTGACAGGTGTACAACTTGCTATTACGGCTGGTTTTTGGTTGATGTTTCGGAAGTTGGACAAGGATATTATTGTTTGATGTTTCTAAGGGTATACATACAGACAACAAATCCGTCAGTTTTGATTAAGTACCTTGGAAAATAGCCTTGACTTTACGGAGTCCGTTTCAAGTGTCTCAAAGGCCACATTTACCAATGCAATAATCATTCTACACATAATCCCATCATTGGCGTGACTGTAAACTTCGGTGGGGTTAAAACCCCCTCATTAGCGATGCTTGGCTTACTTAACACGACACTAGCGATGTTAGCCTCGACCAAGTGCCCCATAGAGATAGTCATCACCTGTCATCACCTGTCATCACCTGCAATATCCTGTCATCACTAGACTCTGTCGAGTCACCTCGCGTTGCTAATGGTCTGCACTTCTCATTCTGTTCATATCCAGTGCTTCTCATACAGTAACAGTGAATCAGGACGATTCAAACCCAAGAAAATATCATTACAATGCCTTCTGCAATCGGGAAGAAAGCCCTTCTTCTGGGTGCAGGCTTTGTCTGTGAGCCCGCCGTCCAAGCGCTCTCCGAAGCAGGCGTCAAGGTCACCGTAGCCTGCCGCACTCTAAGTGTCGCCCAGGCCCTCACCGCAAACTACAAGTCTACCACAGCTATCGCTCTCGATGTAGTCAACGAGCCGGAGAACCTCTGCGCGGCCATCTCCCAAACAGATATCGTTATCTCCCTCATCCCCTACGTTCACCACGCCCTCGTTGTCTCAGCCGCCATCAGATACAGCAAACCAGTCGTGACAACGAGCTACATCTCGCCCGCCCTCTGGGCACTCGACGACCAAGCCAAGGTTGCAGGTATAACAGTCCTCAACGAGATCGGTCTCGACCCTGGCATCGACCACCTTTACGCCGTAAAGACGATTGACGAGGTCCACAAAGCAGGCGGACAAGTGAAAGCCTTCACGAGCTACTGTGGTGCTCTCCCTGCACCAGAGAACTCCGACAACCCGCTGGGTTACAAGTTCTCTTGGAGTCCTCGAGGAGGTCTCCTTGCCCTTCTGAACTCCGCACAATGGTACCGCGATAACGACATCGCAACCGTGGACGGAAAGAATCTGATGGCTGCTGCCTCACCACAGCGCATTTCCCCGGGGTTCAACCTGGTTGGATACCCCAACCGAGACTCAGTCGGTTTCCGCGATTTTTATAACATCCCCGAAGCACACACCGTCTTTCGGGGCACCCTACGATATGCCGGGTTCCCTGAGATAATTCGCGCGTTGGTGGCCATTGGGTACTTCTCGCAGGAGCGAATGGCTGTGCTGGAGAGGTTGGGTACAACTTGGGTGCAATTGACTATTTCCCTACTTGGACTTTCGGAGTCCTCGTCACCGAAGGAGGTTGAAAATGCAGTTAGGCAGAAAATTGAGGCGTTCATCACAGACAAAGACGATGTCGATCGTGTATTGTCAGGTCTACGGTGGATTGGTCTCTTTGATCCCACGCCTGTTGGTGGATATGGTACACCTCTTGACACGCTCTGTGCCGTGCTGGAGACCCGAATGGCCTACCAGCCTGGAGAACGAGATATGATCGTGTTGCAGCACATCTTTGACATCAAACATGCGGATGGTTCGGTGGAAAAGAGATCGAGTACTCTAGTTGAATATGGGGAGCCTCTTGGTCCGGGGTGTCGTAGTGCGATGGCGAAACTTGTAGGACTTCCCTGTGCTGTAGGGGTTCTGGCTGTGTTGGAGGGACGCATTCCGGCGACGGGTATGGTGGCGCCTTGGTCGAGTGCAGAAATTGCCAGGCTGTTGCGGGACGAACTAAAAGATAAATTTGGCATTGAGCTGAAGGAGCGGGTTATCATATGAGTCGTGGTGTGATACTCAGTATGCCATTCGATTCATTTCTACAGGTAAAAAGTTTAATGTCGCGATAGCAGACAGAGGTCGGGAAGGTCTTTTAAAGATATATACTCCGGAAGATCACTTTAGAACGTATAAGTTCGTTTGCGTTTACCTAGGGATGACGGGTCACTAGGTAGAGAGATATTTTGTGACAGCAAGACGCCGGGGCGAGTCCCAGTAATAGCAGACCATAGCTATACTATAGCAAATTAGACGATCATACTTCTATATCAAAAGAACCTTAAATAGACCTAGTGATGCCGGTAGATCACACAGAAGACGTCTATATCTAGAGTGTTCTTATCCTTCGTTCGTCGGTGGATTTTGCGCTCGGCCGGGAAAGGCCCCTTAAGAAACTACGTCACGATTAGCCTAACCTTCCTTAGCACATAAGGAATGCTCGTACTCGTCTTATCTATTTATAGGCGTCCTCACTAACGCGGCGACGGGAAAATAGCTCGAAATACTAACAAAGGCGGCGCTAGTACTTAGTCTGCGCCAAAACCCACTGGTGGGTCGAGATCTCAAACCCAAACCCAACCCACTCGTGGGTAGACTGCGCCAAAACCCGAGAATGGGTAAAAGTAGTCGACCCGCCACCCGAACCCGCAAACCCGATGGGTAGACTCGACCAACCCGCAACCCGCCCCGAAACTCGCGCGGGTAACCCGCGGCTACATAATTTTCCCAATCGAGCTATGCCAAGGTGTATAAAAATGCTGATTAATACTAATAAAATACAGTAATCTATGGTGGTTTTGTTAGTCCTCTTTTTCAACCATATTGTGCCGATAACATTCGTTGAAATTTTATGAAATGAACCTATATTTATTACTTATCCCATCGTTCGACAAGAGCAAGTTCAATGGTGAGGGTGGGAGGACACCCAAAGATACATGGTACCGTGTCCCAGCTGGAACAGCGGTCGACGTTGTTTTGGAAGGCTGGTGTGTTGGATTCAAGCCATTGGGAAAACGGCTAGTCGACAACGGTGGGAGGAAGGAGTACAGGAGCAGACTGCATTGGAATATCTAACGGAAACTCTGAAAGATCATGCCGTTGAACGCTTGCTGGATGCCAACACGCACTTGCGCGGTTACTGCGATCTTCTCATGGGACCGCAGCACTTGGATTTCCTCGTTCATTTGGATACCGATGACCTTGGCAATGTTTATCGGTGGCGGATGCAGCAGGAGCATGCTCTCCGCGCGCGAACGAAGGAGACTATGACGGATGAACAGGTTGTCCAGTTCGTGAAAGGGTACATGTCGGCTTATGAGCTGTATCTTTGCCAGTTGAGACAGGCATTTTTCGGTGTGAGTACGTCCAATGCCGAAAACAAGGGCCAGTTGCGAGTTGTTTTGGATCAGGATAGGACAGTAGTTGATATTGATTTGCATCAGTGAACTGGACTAGAAGCGCCGGAAACACTTTTCGTGCAGAACCTGACTACAGTAAGAGTCGAAAACAGATTCCCCTTTGGACACACACTTTGTTTCTCGGCCCGTACCCGAGACCCCGCTAGTCCGCATTAGGTTAATCTATAAACAGCCCCCGCTTAGCCGTAACGCGTCTTGAGACGTATTAGACTTCAACGCCCAACAAGTCACTGTAAAATACTGTAATCTCCACAGAATGTTCTAGTTCTTGGAGGAGATTCTGACGATCTGGCAGTCTGGCATTCTGACGATCTGGCTTGATCCGTGTCCGCTCCCTTTCTTCTTTTACCTCCAAAGTCATCATCTATCTGCTACATGACGAAGGCTGTACTACTGCTGTAGAGAATTAACCCGGGTAGGCTAACATTGTCCTCGTTTATTTTTCCCATGGCTACTGCTCTCTACTATTGCTTTTTGATTCCTGGCGTCTGCCCACGGCTGCCATGCCCACGTAAGCTGACGCAGATCTCCAGATCGTTTTGAATCGTGCGTAGGTACGAGCGACAGCACATACTACGTTGATAACGCCTCCCTCAAGTCTTGGAGTCATGGAATTAGGGTACTCAATATGCCCCAACCCCGGGATACCTCCGCAGCCTTTATGCCACATGATCCAACTACAGTCCTTCCCCTCCTATCCTCCTCGAGGAAGAGCCCAACCACGCAAGTCAACTTCGGCCAACCACTGTACCACTACTTCAGTAATCTGAGTGGGAGAAGGACAAGGCCTATGATGAGGATTCACCGAGTTGTTTCCACTACTTTATAGAATGGCAGGCCAGTTCAATAATAAGGCTGTCAAAGACACGGAAGAAGACTGGCGCGTATTGGCAGCAATGTCTAGGAAACTATTGGACGCCGTTGGGGTGAAGGTCTCGTGCAACAGAAGGGTCAGGCCTGATGATACTGCCGTCGTTATTTCAGTTAAAGATCGGTCCTAGCGTGATTCGAACAAGCGCTTCAATAAGACCGACATCGCTTTAACTGCCATCCGAAAACAGCTCTAGATGTGGTTCACTCAATTCTATCGAGGCAAGAGACTCACGTTGAGGATTAGTTTTATGTGCTCCTCCATCCGCTGGACGGAAAGGGGAAATAGAGGTAAAGTTTCCGTGACAAAAACGATGCATGTGGTCAGAAAGAAATTTGCCGCCATGTTTATGGCCTGATGAAATGCAATTCAGCTGCATGCCAATTGGGCACCTACTGCTGGCAGGATCGAGTGGGAAAAACCACTATAGACTTCGTACGCAAAGAGGCGGTTGATAATTTACGTCGAGAAAGGCGGTGCCCTGGGGACGCACAAGAATATTCCTGATGAAGTCCGGGAAGAACTACATATAGAGAAGCAGCAGAGGCCGGAAAAAGAACAGCGCAAAGGTGGTGACGTTTTCGGGAGTGGAACGCCCTATCCACCAATCAAAATAGACTTCTCCCGTCCCACACAGCCAGCCGTATTGGACATCACAGCTCCAAAGGCCGCTGTTGACTCAGTCCGGAAAAAACAAAGGTCCGTTGAAGATTTACGGGTTCATAGCTGCCAAAGAATACGGTGGGTGGCTTGCATCAACTATATCCTATGATTCCCTCAAAGCGGCATTTCGACAAGCGTGTGTTGTGACGCTGTCAGATGGGTTTGACCTTGAACACATCTATCTACAAGGATCAAAACCCAGAATCATTCGTCAGCATGGGGGTTAAACCTGGAATTGCCCGAAGTTTCGTAGAGGATATTCGTGGCTGGGGTTAGAATGTGAACAAAGTGATACCAGTTCTTGAAATCTTCTTCGGCTTAGTTTGTTATGATATAGATTACAGGAATACATCTCTTGTGTCATACTTCAATGTGCAGTTATTTGTCGTAAAGACAAGAAGACAATAACAACAGATAGAGAAACAATACAGAGTACTGACTAGATCCCGACTAAAACTTGAACGAACATACAAAGTAACAAACCGCATCTAACATAACACGACTTCTAGCAGTCAAACTCCCAGACTCCCGTGCTAAACTCCCATCGCTAGCGGAATTCTATCTACGTGGCCTGCTGGATTTTTGATGGAGCGCATCCTAGTATTGACTGCAGGATACGCCGATCAATATGAAAACTCAAAACATGACCATTTTGAAATCCAATAGCGACGTGATCGCCTTGCATGTCATGAGATGATGGTTGAAAATCAGACGGTAGCCGAAAAAAAGGTATTTCTCCATAGCATATCCACTGGTCTCTGATGAAGAGACCCTGTAAAGAATGTTGACTTCCGTCTTGTTGGTCTGTGGCAATGCGCCGAGGGGTGGTTGGTCCAATAACTGTTGCAAGGTACCGGTTCATGTCATGCACCGGCCCTGGTGTCTTAGTTTCATTCGATGATCGCAGTTTGAAACGGCTACTTGAATGAAGCCTAAAGAGGTTGGGGGTTTTCACGGATTTGGGGATGTCCCAAATCTTGATTCTTTCATCATGAGAGCCTGAGGCGATCTGCCTGCCGTCTGGTGAAAAAACCACTGTATTGACCTCCTTCGAGTGGCCTTTTAGTGTCCTCTGAAGGTCACCAGTTATAGTATTCCAAAGCCTGATGGTTCCGTCATAAGAACCTGATGCGATTTGCTTGCCGTCCGGCGAAAAGGCTATAATGGTGACCCCACGGAACTGGCCAGGTAGTGTTTTCTGGAAGTTCCCCGTTAGGGTATCCCAAAGCTTGATGTTTCCGTCATAAGACCCTGAGGCGATTTGCTTGCCGTCTGGCGAAAAGACAACAGTTGTGACCCCGCGAAAGTGGCCTGGTAGTGTCTTCTGTGAACCCCCCGTTGCGGCATCCCAAAGCTTGATGGTTCCATCATAAGAGCCTGATGCGATCTGCTTGCCGTCTGGTGAGAATGCCACGGTGGTAACCCTCTCCGAGTGGCTTGGCAGAGTCTTCTGAAAATCATCCGCTGCGGTATTCCAAATCTTAATAGTTTTATCATGAGAACCTGATGCAATCTGCTTGCCGTCTATTGAAAAGGCCACAGTGGTGACCATGTCCAAGTGGCCTGCTAGGGTCTTTTGAAAGTCACCCGTTGCGGCATCCCAAAGCTTTATGGTTTTGTCACGAGAGCCTGACGCGATTTGCTTGCCGTCTATCGAAAATGCCACGGTAGTGACTATGTCCGAGTGGCCTGCTAAAGTCTTCTGAAAGTCCCCCGTTACGCCATCCCAAAGCTTAAGGACTTTGTCATGAGAGCCTGATGCGATTTGCTTACCGTCTGGTGAAAAGGCCACAGTGTTGACCCCCTTCGAGTGGCCTGCTAGAATCTTCCGAAGGCCACCCGTTGCGGTATCCCAGAGCTTGATAGCTCCGTCATCAGAGCCTGACGCAATCTGCTTGCCGTCTGGTGAAAATGCCACGGTGGTGACCCTGTCCGAGTGACCTCCTAAGGTCTTCTGAAGGTCACCCGTTGCGGTATCCCAAAGCTTGATGGTTACGTCATAGAATCCGTCATAACCACCTAATGCGATTTGCTTGCCATCTGGCGAAAAGGCTACAGTAGTGACCCTGCGCAAGTGACCTGCTAGTGTTTTCCGAAAGCCACCCGTGGCGGTGTCCCAAAGCTTGATGGTTCCGTCATGAGATTCTGATGCGATTCTCTTTCCGTCTGATGAAAAGGCCACAATGTTTACCCAGTCTTTTAGTGTCTTCTGACGGTCACCCGTTGCGGTATCCCAAATCTTGATAGTTCCGTCAAAAGAGCCTGATACAAGTTGCTTGTCGTCTGGAAAAAAGGCTATAGCGTTGACCCCGCCCGAGTGTCCTTTAAGTGTCCGTATGATAGACGCCCAATTGTCCTCCATGAGAGGCACATTCCTCAGATAGACTGGAATTCTTTTTAAGTTTTCCCTCTTCACGACGCTTGATTCAGGACTAAAGATAACAGCGGAGCTGTGGATCTGTAAAGGCCAATGAGACAGGGTGTGATAGTGTTGTACCAAAAAACGTGTCGCATCCTGCACGAGTGCAAATGTGGGAAGGTCATCCTTTGACAAGATTGTAAGCAAAGTCCCTAGATCGAAAGTATCATTTGCTTACCTTCGTTATATTTACCAATGCTTCTAACGCTGCAATGGCTCGTGGTAGCCTGTCTAACAAACTAAGGCATTCTAGCCATTCCAACAATTTGTTGTGAAGGAATGTACCTACCGCGCCTTTATCAATAATCTCGCTCTGTACTATCGTCCTTCGGTTGATGTTCTCCAGATGCTGTACCCAGAAGGTAGCCGCATAGTCTAGAGAAGCCAGTAGGATACATCTTTCCTTGTCTTTCAGTGGTTCCGACGATTCTCTGGCCAAGTCAGGTCGCGGCAGGTCTATAAGATTGACCTTAAGCCATTCAGATAAATGAGACAGACAGCCTAGTACAAGTTCAAAATGTCCGAAGCGCTCATATGAGCTAAGTATAGACTGTGCATTCTCCGTGGCCAAGTAGTCTCGGGCAGACTGATGAACAAACTCGATGTTGTTTTCCTGCATTTTGAGGAATGAAGCACAGCGATTGACTAGCGCCTTAATAGCGTCATCTTTATTAGTCATGCTAGTCACACCCGAAACTTCTTCCACTTTTAACGGTCGGTATACCAGCATCATCGCCTTAAGCAGTCGTATACACTTATAGACATCATCTAGGTGGCCTTCGCTTAGTTGGTTCAATATTCGATCGTAAAAAGGATATAGTCCTGGCGGCAAACTTTGAATAGTGGTCAATGCCTTATCTTGGCGGACGTTCTCGAGTCTCTTACAGACCAGGCTCACCCATAAAAAGGTGCCTTCGGCCTTTGTAGAAAGCTCAGTTTCCACTTCTCTTTTTAGTGGTTCCCTATATCCATGATAACGACTGAGCTCATCCACTTTATAAGTGATATAAGCCTTCACAGCTTCAGAAACGTAGTTTGAGTTGAGCTCTAGACTGACTTGCACCTGGTCGTACCCCGCTAGCAATGCCCGCTCCGCGCTATCCAATGGTCGACTTGTCACGAGCCATTTGATTTTGGCGGGGTGATCTAGTCCATTACGGACGATGAGCTTCAAAAAGTCGACCATTCCACCATCTTGGCACTCATCAAGAGCATCCACAATCATATACATCTTCGATGCGGTACACCGATCCAACATCTCTAAAAGGATGTTCCAGAGACTTCTCCACGAGGCAACATCCTCATTGAAACGGTTCTTCTTTGTATTCCAGCGGCGTCGTAGAATCTCTTTAAGGTCTGCTTGCTGTCTCACCAAACTCAGAATCCACCCCTTAATGATTGATTCACGGGTATTGAGCTCGTTGTCGGCATTTTGACAGAAAAAATAAGTCACCACAGTGGATTCATGTTGTACCCGGGAAAGTTCTTCAATAAGACCGATTGACATCATGGTCTTCCCTTTCCCAGCACCGCCCTTGATCCAAAGCAGACAGACATCCTTTCCAGTTCGCCAACTCTGATACTGCGGGTCCTTCAGAACCCATTCGAATGATTGAAGGAGCAGCTTGTCCTTGGTCTCTTTCAGCCGATTCTTCACAACTAGTGAATCAGGGCAGCGTAGATCGTGGAGCCACAGTCGATCGATATCTTCAGCTGTCTTTGCTATGAACGGTGTAAGTTTCATGATTTCAGTTCGTTAATGGGATATAGCCTACACTGGTGAAATTCCGCCGTCCCGTAGTTGTTTCCAATCTGGAGCGCATGGTTTGTGCCAGGGAAGTTAATTGATGCCATGATCAAAGTCATTCAGGATGCCGCAGTTTGCGCGGGAGGAAGTTGTAGTTCGCTCACCTGAGTGAGGGGTTTGTTAGAGATTCATGTCAGGTGACTTCTTAATGGCGCTAGCCCGCGATATCGGAAATCATCGACTATGCTCCTTCTAACTCCTTATGAAATCCAGCTCCAACATACTGTGGCAGGTTTTTAGAAACAATTCAGAAAACAAAATAGTGGAAATGGTCTCGAGCGAGTACGCATTCGGATTGGAGAGGACTACAGCGTATAATGGAAGTTAGACACCTGTTTATGTAGCCAGGGGTCAAAGATCTAAATGCGAGAGCCCTCCTAATGCTTAAGGATGTCGCTAGCATCTTAATCCGTCCTATATAAATACAACCATTTCGTCGAGATAGAGACCGGGTTGTCCGAGCAAGTGATTGCAGGGAGCGTTCAGCATCAATGGGGTTATGGTTCGCCTCTGGCCGATACGGTTTGGAGGGGTATTGGCATTTCCAGAAAGCCGAAAGTTCCTGCGGATATTTTTGATCGTTCGATCACTGCATTCAGCTGCATCAGCCATTTGAGATGTGGTTAGTGACTGGCTTTGCATCATCTCATGAACAAAATGTAGCTTTGACGGGGGTAGTCTGGGTGCCATATTGGGCAGAGGATGTAGCTAATTTCAAGATAGTAGTGCTGCAAAAGGAAGGGAACAAGAGCAGAGGGGCATAGAGGTGTGTATCATAGTTGCGGGTAATTTGCAATACCATATGTATTGTAGTCGTCCTAGTATTAAAAGAATCTATTCTTAGAAAATGATAATTACCACGGTTGTCTACACACGGAACAGCGTGGTTTCGGATACCAGCCGAGAAACAACGCGTGCGTCTTTAGGGGGGAATCTGATTTCGACTCTTACTGTATCCCACATATGCTTCTTATAATTATGTATCGGAAATCACAAAAAGTTATTGTGAATCATCCATGGGCCATCCGCTACACTCCATAAATCGTTCATGAGCATAGATGATGAAAATGGTAAAGAGTCTTGACCAGCAAAACTCGGATTAAAAGCAGTGTTTCCGTCAGCCATGTTGCCAAAAATGAGGCCAGCTGAAGACTGCCCACTGAGATAGTCCTCAGCAGTGTCCAGAGCCTCGGCAAAGTTACCGATATTTTCAGACCGTGAGAAAACGGCAGAGTCGTAGTTTTCTGCGGGGCCAATGCCTTGGACAGGAGAGCGAATTGACGATTGAAACGGATGAATTCCGGTAGAGACTGGACGGCCTTGGTATCCATTTGGCGCTGAAACTTGAGGTCGAAGTGGAGTGAAATCTGTATCACCAATCTCAATATTTCCATCCTGAACCGGCAGAGTTCGTGATATCCGTTTACTTGTCGATGGCGTGAATTGGGCATGGGTTTGAGTTTGTCTCCCGGCACCGTCAAACGTTGGAGTAGCCTTGGATTGCTGCCCACTCGATGTATGTGTCTCGAAAGCAGATTCCATGCCTTTGATCGCCTCGATGCAGGTCTCTGGCCAGCTGCTACCGCGCAATGATAGATTTTCCAAAATAGCAATCCCCATTCTCGCATACTTGAGAGCTGTCGGCGTTGGGAATTCCTCTTCCCATGCAGCATACATCAGAATAAGACAGGCCATCCAAGTTGACCATGTAAAGCATGGCCAGGAGAGCGGAGATTCGGGTTCAGAGGACATGTGTTTTTTCAATGCCGCAAGTATAGATCGAGAAGATCCGATACAAGTCTGCAAAGCGTTCCTGTACTCCGCACTTGGATTTTCAGAGGCTAGAAGAGGTCGATTCAGTGAGATGATAGCTTCGTGTCTCAGGATCATCAGGAGTAGCCGGTGATATGGCTGCAAGATCGGCTCTTGCTCTAGATCAGGTTCTCCTACCTCATCAATGGGGTTCACATCGTCATAAACTTCATTCCACCATTGTGATAGTTCTCCAGTAACGTGAGCTGCTTCAACCTGGCTGGCGTGACTGTGGAGAATGGATTTATTACGAAGTTCAACAATCAAACCTCGAATCCGTGCAAATTTCGCAAGATGGCACAATAAGCGCAATCTGCGATCGTCGGGGCATTTGACAGTTGTTGAAGAATGTCTCTCGGCGCCGGGGTAGCACACGTCGATGTCGTCATCTCGAATAGAGAGCGGAATGCCAAGGGCCTGAGAAAGATATCTTTCGAGGGAATAGATTGACCAAAATAATCGACAACGGATATCGGCTTCTTCACTGCTAAAGCAAGAAAAACGTCTTGGGCAACGGTGCAACCCGAGGTGAAATGCAGTGCGGGTGATGACACCCCCTACCCGCGAGGCGGCATTCAGGCGCAAAAGAGAAGTGAGTGCAAGTTGAGCGGTAAATGCTGATTGTAGCAGTGACAAGCTAGTTGGCTCTTCCAGGAGGCTTTGTACATCTTGCATCACATGTTGGATGGATCGAAAGACCAAGACCGAAGGAACGGGACTGAGCTTCGATCCAGACGACGCTTGCTGTCGATTATCACCAAGAGAAATGGACACGATGGAGCGGAGAATCATCAATTCTAGTTGGCTGACCGATTCGACCCCTTTTTGACTGACTGTCTCTATGGTTTTCAAGACTGTCGGGGCGTGGAGGCATGGGAAGATTGGATGCCAATTCTGGAAATAGCTGCGTGTCCACTTAACAAGATCGTCGAAAGCAAATGAGTTTGGTGCATAGTTTACTTCCTCGCTCGCCCACAGCTCATCCGAGCGTCGAATGCTCCCTGAATTTTGCTGTAGCCGGTCGTCTTCCCCTGGCACCGAGGTTCTATCACGGACTCGTGTTGGGTCCAAGTCTGCTGAACGACGTGCGAAGGCATTGTAAACATGACGGATAAAATGAATTCCACTTGAACTTCCAAGAAAGCTCGCCGATCTCTCATTTTGAGACTCTCTCATAAATCCAATTTCGCGAGGCGAGGGTCCTGGGCCGGAGGTGCGCTTTTGTCTCTTTGTTGCACGAGAAGAATACGGCCATTCAGACTTGTTTTCCTCAAATAGCATGCTAGCAGATGAATCCGAAGCCATCATAGCTGTGACTTACGCATCACATTTTTTTTGGAATTGAGATATTGAAACTCGAGGTTCCTTTGAAGACATCTAGCTCCCGACCATTGGACGCGATTTGTTATTACGTCAGCGGGAGGTCCGGCGGTCCATCTGCCCAGGGCACCCGCCCCCAGCCAGCAGTTGGAATGGACAAAATTTGACGACGGGGTTCCAACCTAGGAGTCTCCAGGGCTACCACGCAGAAACTTAGTAATCGCTTCTAATGGAACCATCCATGGATATGATACTAGATAATTAGGTATCTATAGATGTACTAGTATATATTCATGTTAACTCTCTTAGAAATCTTGACTGCTCCCGATCAAACGCCCTCAAACCATTTATGTTCCAACGCCAGACGCGCTGTAATCCGTTTCCCCGGATCGAAACGTGCCACGGCACGTAGAAGGCTTTTAAAGTCATCATCGACACCATTCCAGAGCTCGAAGGGCTCGCGCAGGGTCTCCTGGTTGAATCCGTCCCGATTCACTTCGAAAACGCGGGCCCATGGACTGTCACCAAGATGCTTCAAGTACCCATTGAGCCCGTCTTCATCTGGGAAGTAAGAGATCTGGCGCTCGATTACGACAGCGAGCGGATCGACACCCTCTTCTAACTCGTTCCTTGAAGTGCGAAAATGATGCGCTTATGGACGGCGCAGATGAACTAGGCGGACTGTTTACTAGCTGCGTTTAAGAAATTTCCGGATGCGAGACTTACAACAAGAGCAAACGAGAAAACGTCTGAAGTTTTGTTGACGGGGCCCCTTGCGTGGGCTTCGGGGCTCCTCCATATCCAGTTGCCTGCCTGTTTCCCGACCATATCGCACCCTGGGGGAATATGAGCTGAATCTTCCAGATAGCCAAGTTGAACTTGGTCAACAAGAATCTCATCATTTCGATTCTTCCAGTTAATAAAAAAATTGTCTGCTTTTATATACGAAGAGTAAGTTGTTGTCCAGTATTTGAAGAAAAGACCAGGAAAAATACCTGTGTGAATGATAGCCCGATCATGAAGCTCAGCAAGCCCAGTAAGGGCATCCTTGAGAATCCTCTTGATAATCACAAGGGGTAAGTCCTTCTGGGCAAGAGTTAAGATATGATCTGTAAAGTGTTCGAAACAAACATAGACTTGTCAGGGATAGTGTCCACAGCAAGGCGGACATGGCTTGCATTGCCACATAGGCAATTACTGACTTCTTGAAGATCTTCAAGGTTGACGGGATATATGTACTTGAATATGAAGTTGTGACCGTCTGCCCTGAAGGAGGTATAAGCATGTAGCCATGTGGAGGGTTCGCTGTCTACTCACGAGGCACTATAGACTTGGCACGGTGGAAAGACCCTTCCTGTAAAACATGTTCGATGGTGTAAGTGCGACCAGATAGACCCGTAGGCCGTGTAAAAAGTAGAGGGTTGCTTGACATTGTGCTGTTTGCGCGATAGAAAAGAGGCTTTGATCCTAAGATTGATATGCGCTGGAGAGTGCTTAAATATGTTGAGCTTTTGCAAAAGCGGCTCGCTAGAAGAGCGGGAGACATTAGTGCCAACATTAGAAGCAGAGTGTGTGAGGATTGCAAGTTCTTCGAATTCGTTGCTCGGGACGACACGTTCCACCCATGGACGTTTCCCATTAGGTTAAGGAATCCCATAATCACATGATTTACATAAGACCGCATTGGTCAACATCAGCGCTTAGGGGGAGGTGGCCCTGGGGGGTTTCTGCTCCTGCAGGTTGCTTCTATTTTCAGGGCTATCTGGATACAGGCTGGCCTCTCATTGCCTGGTGGACCTTCCCTTTAAGCGCCGTTGGTGACTGAGACATCCATGGGTTTATATCCATGGATATAAATATGCACAAGGTTCATCGTGGGGCCCGTACACCCAACGCGCTACTACCTAGGTAGTACAGGCCGAGAGAACAGTTTGAGGTTCGCGTGCGGCAAACAATATAGACCAAATTCCATGAGGGAGAACTTGATTGGGCTGCAGTGCAAGGCATCCAAACTCTTCTGTTCCATTATTATAATCCGTCACACTGGGCGGAACTGTTCTTCACTCTCATACTCGATAAGACCACTCTCACGGAGCGCACGACGGGTGTCCATACGAGTGACCTATATCAATTAATCGGTGAATAGTTCTTGGGAAGCGCTTAGAAATCGCTTAGGGAGCGCTTACACGCTTAGCACGGGTCAAAGGTACTACCGAGGGTTCTTCAAGTTCAGACTCAGAGTCTAAGGTAGCGGTGGCGGGGGTGCTCGGGCCCAGGGGGTAGTAGCAGCGGTGGGGACAGTAACAGGGGAAGCAGGGCCAGCCACAGTAGTAAAAAGGGAGTCGTACCAAGCTATGCATAGTTAGTAGAGGAAGCGCCTAACAAGTGATTATAAGCACTCACCCATTGCTGCTTCCTGTTCGTTTATAGTCAACCGGCCAGTAAGCTCAGCACGTACAGCAAAATTGCCATCGTCATGGCGACTGATATGCCCGCGGAGGTTTCGGGCCTCTTGGGCATTCTATATAACTAGCAATTAGTAGATTCGTCAATAAGCGCTTCCTAAGCACCTAGTCAGCACTTACCTTGTTCTTTCTGTAATTGCATTTCTCATGGCGGCAGTGGACTTCGCCAGGGTGCACAATTGCTGCTCCATTCTCGTACTGGTAATCAGGAAGTACTAGTTGACCAACTGCCACTACACGAATGTACCTTTCGTACGCAGGATACCCAGCTAAAAGGGCGGTATGGGCCCATATTGACTGATTGGAAGATAGAAATTGATGAAAATCGATGAAACAGCACCTAATAAGCCCTTGTGGGATAGGCGTGGAGCAAGGTAGTCAAGAGCAGTGAGGTGGAGAAGTGAAGAACTTGGGGATGAAGAACTCTATAACTAACTCACTAGTTAACTAACTAACTAACTAGGCCAAAAAATCATAACAGCAATCGGAACGTCCGATTGCCGCTGTAGCGGTATATATATTAGGCCATAGTCTCCGCTACCACGACCGATTTGCAGGGATTTAGAACCACAAGGTGATAAATTTCACTCAATCAAAACAGAAGCAAAGCCACTGCATATTTTTATCCATTTCAGTGTCGTCTTCCTGCCCGAATGCATAAATATGGTGACCATCACGTGCCTGCCAATTCTGCCCGGATGTTTCTTACTCCGAAGCTTTTACCAAACAGCATCACCCATACCCATGACCGTGGTAGCCTGATGTCTTGCATATCTTCGGGAGTTCCATTACATCTGCATGTATGTGTATTGTATAATCCTGGAATTAACAAATGGCGCAGTTGCGATCGAGGCGGAAGGCACCTGGTGCCACCATGCCAGGTATGACCAGAATACCCCACATCAAAAGCATAGATCCACCGACTGACTCAAGGTGCCACCAGAAGAGAACCTGAATCCGATTTCCTGTGAGCTATGCAGACAGCGCAAATGTAAAGTGTGTTATTCTTTTGTAAAGAACCGCTGGCAAGACAAGTGCTGACCAACAACCTAGTGTGATCGCAGGCTGTAAGATCAAAAAGTTCTCACTGTTTGGTTTGACGGTTGGTCTTATTCCTAATCATCTCGTTAAGTCCGTTCTGTTCCCAATGCGCAGGGGAAGCATCGAAATGCATCTACCCCGAAAGTGGTAAAAGGCGAGTACCCCGGCCTACATGCATGCAGGGACCCGCGGGGAACTAACCCAATGGCCAGGGGCTTACCACTGGGATACTTGAACCAATTGGAACAAAGGCTGGCAGAGACCGAGTCAGCCCTTTACGGGGCTTTGATGACCATTCGTTCAATGGGACAAGCAGAAGCAGTACAAACTACAACAAAGACGGATATTTCCCACAAACATAAGGCAGCTCGCATGGAAGAGTGGTCCCAGCTGCCCCTCCGAGAATGGCCCGATATGGAGCGTTGGCTGACGGCCATGTCGGACCGGTTTACCATTGAGCAGCCAAGTGATGTGGTTTCAGACACACGGGGACGTGGCTACACAATCCCGATGGCTCCTACTCATGATATATTGCAGACCTCGGGAGATCCTCATTCCGGACAAGTCCCATATGCATGGCAACCCAGGGACAATAGGGTCAGTTCGGGGAGTTCATACGATGCTCATCAGCCCCACCCTGGGGTGATAGCTTCGCCGGTATATTTTGGGCACCAGGTTGCAGTGGAACCTGAATCCAGGCCATCTCCATGTAGTTCCCGAGACGGAATAACTGGCGTGGAGGATGCTGTCGGTGTTTCGGTGGATGCAGCTGCATCTGCAAGAGCTGGGGTGGAGACGGGGTTGAGCAAAGCCGAGGAGCTGTCGCACAATAATCCGAGACTTTACTTTTAAACTGACGTGTTAAACGTACAATAATAATGATGTGGTCTTCATCTCTTTCCTCATGGAGCCTGCACTCCTTATCAGTGAGTGTGGAGCGTGAATGCCTGAGGCCACAATTTGGTAGTGACCACATCACGTGTTGTATGGAACCTTTTTCGTTGGATCAAATAGAAACACCCACTGCTTAGGTGGGCAAAATGAATGGCTTTGTGGACTGAAACCGAAAGTTCAAATGAAGCAGCACTTTTAATCGACAAAGCCAAGTTCAAACGCAGCACCAAGCAATTCACAGTATACAATGCACAATAGTACGCAACATCACTCCGAACATTGTATGTTCTACTCCGTACGGAGTAGAACCCTAGCGGGTTTCACTCCACTCCACACAATTTTTACGGTGGGGTCTAAGACGAAGGGTTTTAAGATTTTAAACACCAATACTCCACAGAAAATCCACCAGTCCACTCAGATAACGAGCAGCACACCCTCTCAGAGATCTGGAAGTTCCCCTCCGGACTGATCAGCTGCAAGCGCTAACAACAAGACCACTTGACCTGAGTTCTTCCAGTGACCCTTTGATTGGACCCTTTACTTGGCTGAATTCGAGCCAAACAGGTCACGGAGCACAGACTACTTTAAGCGTGGACGGATACAGGGGGTGAAACGCCCGTGCCCTTAGACTAAGAGCCCGGACCTGCATCCGTTTCAATTAGATTATTCTCGGGGCATCCATGGATTATCCATGGTATGATGGCATCACGCTGTACGGGTCATTTTCTGCGAGGGATGGTCGTAAGGCTAGTACCTAGGTAGACTTCAAGGGTGTCTGATCTGGTATGACAGCGCAGATGGGACATGTTGAACACGTACACCTTTGCCCGATGGCCCGATGACCCCTCCATACGCAGGCACATATCTGACACCCTGGGAGATGACCCTGGAGGATGGAATCAACTCGGAGATACGGAAGTCCCTGTACCCCTTCAAGATTGTAGAGGCGAATAAATTGGGGCGTATTTCATATACCGTAGAAAGAGGCAAATGTCCGAAGTTTGGATGAACCACTCTGATTAAGAACAGAGCCAAATATTGAATATTTCTCGAACGGAAATCTTTTGGGCTCCATCCTTTGTCCTGCTACTGGTCAAAAGGTCGAATCGGTCAAACGCTGGTGTAGCGCCCAAAAACCGTAAGGGACCGCCCCCCCTTCTCACTTTCTTCCAACCTCCTCGTCCTAGGGATTGTGTGCCTTTGTTCCTTCATTCTCTCCTTATTCTTCTATTCTTTAAGTCCTCGATACAAAGTGATCTGAGATCCTGGACTCCTTTTATTCCCTTATTTTATTCTTGACCTCTGCGCCACCATTCATTAACAAAAAAGAGACTGTTATTCCTCTACATTTTGCTGCGCGAAATTCAAAAGAGGATTCGACATTCATTTTGTGCATCTTTACAATAGAATTTGAAATTCTACAACGATCTGATACCGATCTGATACTGAACGTTCCGGTTGATCTTACATTCTTTGCGCGATCGTCTTACCACGCGAGACTCAAATACGGATCCGATCGCAAAGAGCGACCAAATTCAAAAAAGAGAGGAGAACAAAATCTCACACATTGCATGTGTAAAATTATAAATCAATTCCCGACCGCGCCGAAACACACCGTTGTCATATTTTGAACTTGACTGAATCCCCGAATCCGCCATGTCGAACCTCACAAGAGCATTCACCCGGCGCAATAAGCGCCCAGAAGTGTCCGCACCCATGCCGTACCGTGGCGAAGCACATGTGCGACTCAACTCGGCAAGTATAAAGCGCAGCAATATATCCGGACCGGTCCAGCTCTTGTCCACAACCAACATGCTAGCCTACAATGCACCCGATCTCTCAATCAGCGGCTCTTCATCTGCCTCATCACTGGCATCGCGCGACGACTCCGACATGGCCTTCTCCCCACAAAGCTACGCGTCTTCGATGTCCTCACCCGACGTCTCTCCTCACGAGAGCTCTCCCATTGACGCGAACCCATTGACGTCGTATTTCCCGAAGCGCACGGCGACGGTGACAAGCCACCCGCGCTCCTCCACATCCTCGTCAACTACAGATGCTCCGCTGGTGCCCAAGCGGGCTCTGTCCCACACCAAGCGGTCACACCAGGAGCTCGCTCGCAAGCGCTCGGTCTCTAGGATGTCCCCACCTCCGCTGAACCCAGCGCGCAGCACGCCGGCCATCCGTGCATCACAAGAATTCTTCCAGGCCGAGCCGCATCCATTCGGCAAAGAGCTAGAGCAGGTGAACGAGGTTGTGGAGGAGTTTGGGGGCCTCAATATGCTCGATGATGAAGAGCGGATTCTATTTGACAAGGGGCTCAAGAAGTTTTCTGTCGAAGATTATCTTGTGGAAGTTGAAGAACTGTACGGCAGCATTTTCGAAGACACACGTGGACCTATGACCACATCTTGGTTCTAATATAATTGCTGTCCCCACCCCGGTTGACCCGGGGCTGATCAACGACACGAGATTGCGGACTCGCGAGGACTGGATATTCCTTCGCTTGGCCCGCCACGACGACCAACTCTTATTCTTTTGTTTTACGACTATTGCCCCTTGTTTTTCAAGATACCATGGGAGGAAATCTGTTCCCGCGCTCAGTCCTGATTTTTGAATTTATTCATGCCACTTTATTCCTTTCTTCCCGTAATAGACGTCCTTCTTTTATCGTCATTCATTGGTGTATCATAGAAGGTCAACTGCTTGATATCCTTTTGACGAGACAATCCTTCTACGAGGCCTACAAAGTCTTTGTAAGGATTCTGGGGACTTTCAGGGGACTTTCAAGGGACTTTCAAGGGAGTCTCATATGGAATCTCATTGATGTTTCTCAAATATATTCCAATAGCCACGTTCAAAGGTGCCTTTAGAGTCGAACAAAGTAAGATGTAGAGGATGATGTATAAAATGCGACAACCTTGGAATGAGGACATGATGACATAAGTCAATATTACCTAATTAGGTATAGCGTAGGGCTCACCGACACGGTCACGGGTGCTCCGCGGGCTCCACAAGTGACCGAACGAAAGGAAGGAAAAATTTCGCCTTGCTTTGCTTTGGATTCAGCGACTCGACCATTCTGTCTGCATCCGATTTTATCTACCTCAAGAAACTGGACTTGCACGGATGCAGACAGATTGCTGTCCTTTTCTCCTATTCCAACCTGTAGCATTAGCCCCAAGATCTCGACGTGAACATTGTCGTGTGCTTAGACCAGTCTTTGATAAGCTCCGACGTTGAATCGAAAGTCCACTGGATTTGATTTCTGCCAGAGTGCAGAGAAGCAAATGTCGACACTGGTTTCTGCCTAGAACCTGTCCTACATCCCTTCTTCCTCACATTCGGCCATGGTCTCCCTTGCCACGACTTCACGCAAACCGGCGCTACCGGCCACACCCACGCTATCTCGTTCCAAAATGCTTCCCACTTCCTCTCCAGTCCCGATTCTCAAAACCTCAAGACCTCCTCCCGTGGCCGCTGGCTCGAAACGCAAGATGAGCGAAATGGACCTCCCCCTCTCCCCGTCCTCATCCCAGGCCGATGACGCGACAGAAGCCCTTCCTCCTACCAAGAAACGACCCCGCGTGCAGTTTGATCAAGATGTGAAGATACATGATGATATCTCGTCGGAGAAGAGCCTGGCAGTCGTTCGGGAAGAGGTTCGCGGGGCTATCCACCGACATGTCACAATGTCAGAAAGCGAGGGCTACGACCGAATCAAGGGAATGTTTTCTGCTGATCCAACGAAGCAAGGCGATGAGAGCCTGCTTGCATACGAATCGCCAACACACACAACTTTAAGAAACCACCTTCTTGCACTGATCTCGCACGTCGCCTCATTGGACCGTTCATGCAGCGGGTTGGTCCATGCCATCATCAACAGCGTGTGGCTCGGACGGGATGAATCCTACGTGAAGCTGTACATCCGGTTCCTGGGCAACCTTGCCGCCGCACAGGGTACCTTCCTCGGTCCTGTCTTGAAGATGTTAGCCACCAATCTCGGGTCCATCCCTCGAGCAGTCGGCCGACTGCCTGGTTACGCCGTTGTTCAACCATCCGAAATGCACACTCGCGTCCATATGGCAATGCGCCATGTGCTGCAACTCATCCCGGCCGGTAGTGGATCACTCTCCCAGATTTTGTCTACGCAGTTTCCCTTCGACTCAGATCCAGCTAGCGCGAGCATCGCCTACACCCGCAATCTCATCCAAATCATCACCTACGCCCCAGAGCTTCAGTCCGATATACTGGCTCTTATCACCGAGAAGCTTGTCAAGGCCGACGTTGATATTCAGGTTGATATGGAGGACTTTGAAGAGGAGGTCGGCGACGAAATCTTGGATGAGGTTGACGATGAGGAAGATGATGATGATGCCTCGGTTGCCAGCGATGATTCGGAAGATGATGACACCAAGGGAGCCAAGAAGATCAAGGACAACATTCTCAAAGTGGATGGAATGATTGATATCCTCTTTGAATACTTCGCGCCCCCGTTCACCTCGGGCACCCTGGATGATAAGGAGAATGCGTTGGATCTGCTCCTCAGCCACTTCCAAACGATCATTCTTCCTACATACCGATCCCGCCACTCGCAGTTCCTCTTGTTCCATTTCTCCCAGGCCTCGCCCGTGCTCATCGATCGCTTCGCGTCCACATTTGTGCAGCTTATCTTCAACAAGCTGCAGCCTGGCATCCTGCGCCAGTCAGCAGCCGCATACCTGGCCAGCTTTGTCGCACGTGGTGCCCATATCTCCGGAGAAGTGGTCCGCGATGTCTTTGACCTCCTCCTCACACACCTCAACAGCCTACGTATGGACTATGAGGACAGCTGCCGCGGTCCCGATCTCCGTCGCTATGGACCTTTCTACTCCACCGCACAGGCCCTGCTGTACATTTTCTGTTTCCGGTGGCGCGATCTGACAACCGCTGCCATTGATGGTGATACTGCGGACCAGGTGGACGAGCTTGAGCCCGGCCAGATCGCATTCCCTCCCAACATCAAAGAATTCCTTCACAAATGTATCTATTCGCGACTAAACCCGCTTAAGGTATGCTCCCCGGCCATCGTCGCCGAGTTCGCCCGCATCGCCCACCACTTCCAATTCCTATACGTCTACCCCCTCCTCGAGACCAACAAGCGCATTCGCGTCACTGCCTTCAGGAATCTTTCCAACCTCTCAGACCCTCGCTTCAGCCACGTCGGCCGCGAGATCCGCGCCGGCGATAACATCGGCTATCAACTGGATGCATACTTCCCCTTCGATCCCTACCAACTTCCCCGCAGCCGTCGCTGGCTAGAGGGCGACTATGTCGAGTGGCGCGGTATTCCAGGTCTCGACGACGCAAATGAGTCAGACAGCGGAGCTGACGAGTCCGATGATGAAGAGGGCGAGGATTTCACCGAGACTGATGAGGAGTGAACTGGGCATGATCTATCTTTCTTGAATAAGGACTTGGTCTTTGGTTTGATTCTTTTTGTTACTTCAGCGTGGCGTTTGGGATTTCCACCAATATGTGCGATATTTTGATTTTGTTTTTTTCTTCTTTCACAAAAAGTTCCTGATACCTTATGACTGATGATATCATTCTTGTTGAGCACGGAACTATCTGGTGGAATCCCTGGGAAATTTCTGCCTCGTGTACTACCATAGTGCCGATGAATCTAGCTTGTTCAAAAAATGGAAAGATAATTCACATGAAATTTCGTGGAATGTTCTACCGGTTTAATGAACCAAACTGCGTTAGAATTTCATCTTTGATGCCTTGATTTTCGAGTTTCTCGCGCGAGCTCGGAGGCCTTCTGCTGCATTCGGGGCGCTGTACCACTTCTTCCCTTTGACGCTGCCTAGCAGAGTAGCAAGCAAGCAAACAACACCCGATTGCTTTAGTCCTAAGGTGGCCGCTGCAGAAATCTCTACCTAGAGACCTTGTCACCCTGGCAGGTTTGGCAGCAGCAACAAGCTGAAAAGCCGAAGCTATTCACACTTCCTGACTAGGCAATTCTCCGGTCTTGGGGAAGGGATATTGTTTGGACTGTCCCGAACAGTTTCCCAAGGTTTTACTGGGTACGGAGCTTAGCGTGACCCGTGTCGCGTTGCACAGTACTGAGGATAAGGTATTGTCCGATTATATCAGATCAATAAGTCCCCGGGCTTATGATCTGTTAGAATCTATGAGGCAGATGAGATCATGGAGACCAAAATGATGATATTGCAGGGTGACTCGAACTACTGGTATCATATCCACCCATGTAAGTACAGATTGGCAAGAGTGCTCCCTGAAAATAATACACTCTTAGGTAGTCTTGCTGTCTAGTCTCCTCGCCCTGAGATATTCATAGTCAGGCATCGCGGCTCTGACGGATTTCTCCAAAATATCGCCAATCTCCTGGCCAAAGTCCTTCTTCCATTTATCATACTCGGTTGCAATGTCAATACCATCGCTACTCTTCCCTTTCAACACGCCTGATGAATTCAACAATGTCTTTTCCATGACCACGCCCAAGGATTTCTTAGTCTCGCTTTCAGAGGGAGAATCCGCCTGTCCTCCGCTAGGCACAAAATCCCAACTAAACTTCAGCTGAGACGGATCTAGCCCGGTAGTCTCGCAGAATCGGACGATAGCTGCCTGATTCGAGATGACATCATCCGCATCTAGCATCAGCGGTTCAGATCCCTGCTCGCAGGACCAATCATAGAGTAATCGAGTCCATTGAAGTGTCATATTTGCTTGCAAATGTGGCTGGAACTCCGACTCATGCAAATATCCCTCTTCTCGAAGCTCCAGCATAGCTCGATAGTAAGACGGGAAGGCTAGGGCGGGATGCCTAATCAGAAAGACTAGACACCACTTTCGCAAAGCCTCATCGGGTAGGACGGTTTGATTCTTCGAAGACCAAGTCGAGATGGACGATGAACAGTTCTGCTGAACTCGGAATAACGATTCTGGGTGGGCATTCTGCTCGCCGAGAGTGACACTGATATCCGTAGGATTGAAGAGCCAGAGGGCGTGTTCCTTGACGAAGTAATGCTTGCCCTGTTCAATAGCAGCGTTCGAATCACGCTCTAGCTCCTCAAAACATTCTTGGAAGACACGTTGCATATCCTGGGCCTCCTCGCTGCTCAGATGTCCCATCGGTCTATAGGGCTTTCCCGTCATTCTGGACTTCAAAAAGGCTGGTCGAAAGTAATAACCTCCAATTTTGTTGGACAACGTATTGGGCTGGTCATCGAGTGCGAGCATCTTTAGAAGCAGATTGGATGCGGTGCGCGGATAGGTGACCAAAAAGATGCGCTGAGGCGGATGCTCTGCATCCTTGGGGGACTGGATGCTGCCCATTGTTGCTAACTGGCGTGATAGGCGAGATTTACAGAGTGTAGCTTTCAGACGAACTATCATACATTCACTGAATTAGATCATAGGTAAGCATTAAGTAAAGAGTTCGTCTGGGGAAACAATTTCCTACATGGTCCTGATCTACGGACGAAGCGAGCTTGAGAAAAATTTGAATGTGTCTTTACTCCATCCGCATGCGTTGATCAGCCAGCCTTCTCCTGTTGGCTGATATATCTAGCTGATCCATCTACTCCGTAGCGTAAAATTCAATTCGTCGATACGTATGCATGCAGGGCGAGTATACGTATCGCAGTACGGAGTACAGATATTTAGCTGTGCTCGAGATCTCGTATCGGATCGAGTTATCTGTATCGGAAACTTTCTCTTGTAGCAAGTCTCATGCAGGGTGCTGATCTGCTCACAGTTTAGGTATTATTGTGGATCTGGAACCCTTCAGCGCATTGGCATACTAGTATCCATTTTTATCCCGAGAGGCGTTCAGCCGATTGTTTCTCTAAAATATACAGGGATGCGCTGGCTTTAGTAATATCGTCGAATGAAGCTTATTCTCTGGGGTTCTTTCTGTTGAAGGCCAGATGTCAACTGCACGAGACTAGCATTGTTGGCTGCAGGCTTCTCACAGAAGTTGTAGGATGCATCACATTGGCCTGCACGTTCCAAGACATATTATCATTGATTCCTTGTTATAACCTTATTTTATATTGCAGACTCGATTCGTCCCGCATGAAGCCTCTCCATATCAATGGGCTTCAAATGTGCGCCTCAGCTAAGCTAATAAATAGTACGGACTACTCCGTACACAGCCTAGTATCTCGCAATCAGCCAAATCCGGCGCTGATCGTCATCCATCGCACGGAGGAACTCGGCCTCGCCTTTCTTCAGGCTAACGTATGACGAAACAATGATCGGTCCCATCAGATCTTGCATCTGACTATCTCCTTCTAGGGCCGCCAGACTCCCGTCCAGGGTGATGGGCAACAGGTCTTTGACTCCCAGGGTCTCTCGCTCCTCGACGGACATGCGAGCAGCAGCCTTGTCACAATTTCCTCCTGTAAGCGGTAATTTTTCTCGCATCCCGCTGATACCAGCGGTAAGTAGTGCGCATAATACCAAATACGGGTTCGCCAGGCCGTCCACCAACTTTATTTCGAACCTGTTCTGCTGGATCCGCCGCAGGGCCACCTCCTTGTTTTCCCAGCCCCACGCGGCATACTCGCCTCCACTCCAGATCCCAGTTGCGATGCGCCCGTAGCTGATGTCGCTCGGCAGCGAATAGGCCAGAATGGCAGACAAATGCCGCATGATTCCTGCGAAAAAGGACTCCGCCTTCTGTATTAACTCTTTGGATCCATTTCTCTTGTCATTGCCCAGTGCGTTGACAGATAGATGGACGTGGGCTCCGTTGCACGCTTGCTGGGGGATAGGCTGTGTTGAGACCGTCGCCCGGAATCCGAAAGTCCGGGCAACATGCATGATGGTCTCACGAGCCCGTAGCAGAGTGTCGACGGCCCGCAGTGGTTCTGCAGGTGGCAGCACGAACTCCCACTGGCCAGGGCCAGCCTCGGCGTGGAACTGCTCTAGGGCGATGTCCACTGTGGACAAGGCCCGGGCGACAGCCTCGATGAGATCTAGATAGGTTCGATCTTCGGGAGTCATGCTCGTGAACGCATGCTGGAAATTCATAGGTTCGTAGTCGACAGTGACTCCACCTTCCTGTTTGGGTCGCATAAACATGACCTCCACCTCGAACCCAACAAGCAAGCCACATCCCATCTCCCGCTTGAGAATCTGGTGTAGATCCTCTAATTTCGCCCGCGCGCATTCCCCGATTGGAACTCCGTTTTCGTCCACACAGTCCACGTTAATGACTGCGCGAGTGCCATTCGAGCCGGCTTGGCAGTAAGCGGTGCTGATATCGGGACGAAGATGGAGCTTGCCAGAGGTACTGGCCCCCTCGGCGAGGCGATCTCCAGGAAGGAGGTGAAGGATTGCTCGGGTCATGGAGAGCAACTGTCCTTGCTTGAGCATGTCCGCAAATTTGGCTCGGGGGATAATGCGGACGAGCGCATTCGAGGTGTAGGAAAGAAACTGCAGCCAGACAAACTCAACCTTTTCATTTTCACCCACAAACCTCTCCCATAAGTCGACGGAGTGTTCCATAGTGGTTAAGAGGTCTCGGGCGCCAAAAAGAAGAGCGATTGTCACAGGATGGAAGTCAGGAAGATGACAGAAGAGGATAAATGATGGTGGTCAACTCCAAATTAGGAAAAGATACTGAACTTAAAGGGCGAACCGGCTGTAGCTGCGCTCGAAATAAATGCATTATTGGCCCTGATCCTTGATGGCCGATGGCACCACATCACTGTGAATATGTCGATCGTATTGGCGCTAGTGAAATATGTAGATCTGAGATTAGCCCGAAGCCATGTTGGTAATTGATACAGCGACAAA